ACCCACTCCACACTCCCCTGTTGTCTTGGAGCTGGACAGTGAGGCCCAGTTTTTATCAAGAACTGCTTCTCCATACGGAGGTGCTCCGTAGACGGGTGTGATATCTCGACACACACATTATAAGAAACAGGAACAGGGAGAGGTATTCAGGTGAACAGGGGTAGGAAGTTCCGTCGTCTTGCATGCCTGCAGGTTGAAAAGTATTGCAATGATGTTTCATAGGTCCCCTGATCGACGCTAACCTCATGGCTGATACGCAAGTTAGAGTGAGGCTGTTCTCGAGTGGCTTAAGCCCACCGTTGGTCCCATTGGGTGGGGACGGGACAAAAGGGTAAGAGAACAAGACCAATACAGAACAAAACTATGTCATCTGACCATCATTATTATTCACAATAAATGTGTCCATTTTTCATTTGTTGGCTGCTAACAAAAAGCAATAGCAGTCATGAATAATGCATCCCGCCTTGATCCAATAGACGTTGTCGCGTACCGGTTATTCAGTCCTACTGTCTCACGGCGCATACCCTGAAGATCACAGTACCCCTCTATAATCTGGCCTTACCCCCCTTGCACGCCCATCCTGCAGGGCACTTTCTCCAGACTATGGCCGTATCGAAGTTTTGTCCCGAGCCGTGCTGGAAGCCGCATTAGGTCGATTGAACGGTGCATGGCGTTCGCTTGTCGGCCCAACAGTCTGCATCAGCAAGTACAATGACTTTGCAAACTCCCTTCCATGATAATATGAGTCTTGTCGCTATCTCGTCGAACCCTTTGCAAATCAGGTGGCGGTGCTCCAACCGCGGCATTGAATCTCGGATTTCAAACAGTTTCATACAAGTACAAGACACATTGGCGCCTTATTCTTTAAAACTCATTCAACTTGACAATCCCTTTGTTTATTTGGATCCCTTAAATATTCTATTTGACTATCTATGATTCTTCGATTCCCCTGTTCATTTCCCTCGTCTCAAAGTCTCCCGATCTACACCCTTGGGTTCGATCATTGCCAGGTTGATCGATATCTCGACGACCATGATGCCTATGACCTTCAATTTCCCGGCGAATGGCCTCAGGGCTCATCGGTATGCTGAAACCGGCCCTTCTCACCCTTGTGTTCAACAACATACTCCACCTACCTCAGACATAGGAAGCCCGGATGTCAAGATTGAAGGCAAGTCTCATGCAGCGATTCATGATAGAAGACTCCCATCGACTAACAGCTTCGACAGAAATCGATATCGACTCTCACGATGCACCCCGTCTCGCAAGCATGCCATGTCTGGCTACTCCATCTCGCGAGTGTTCCTCGATACAGCTACCGAGTTTGGAGGCACTTGATAGAGGGGTCAAGGCTACTGCGCGATTGGATGGGCTCAAGAAGGAAAATCCTCTCGATATCTTACTTCCAAGTCCCTCTCAGTTAATTGCCTACGCAAATCGAAAGCCTCCTCCTACACCTCGCTTGTTGTGGTCTTGCTGGACTCCACCGGTCGATGACTCGATTGCTGAACAGGGTCCTCCACAGCAGAGGGGAGTGGCTGGCCTCGGAATTCTCCCCTTGGGTTTCGGTGATTCTCGACAGATCATTCATAAGAATCCTCCATGCGACGTGGCAGACAAGAATCTCACATCCCGTCTCACCCCGACCACTATCAGTTCCCGGAATAGCCTATCGCCCGATGTGAACTCGAGGTATCGCAGTAATCAGAAGTATACAACAGAAGAGGGGGACTTCATCATCTATGCCAGACATGACAGGAATATGAAATGGTCATGCATCGTGGAAGAGTTTGCTACCCTGTTCGGTCACACTCCTCGACGCACGATCCAGGGCCTTCAAGCTTGGCACTACCGAATGAACAATCAGATACCAGTCTGGGATGCCGACGGATGGTTATGTTTTGACCATGACGACGATGACGAGCCTCGACAAATCAGCATCAAGTCTCGCGAACGACATATGTATCTAGGACCCGGGGAGTCGTTAGGCATTGCACAGCGATATCCTGAGCGGGCTGTACATTACGCATGGGTTGATCCCAAGACCAAGATGATGGCAAAGGACTGGGGTATGTAACTCATATTATTAGATGATGAAGAACGGCGCTAACCCTCTCAACAGCTGCCAAACGAACTCTTCAATATGATATCAGACGCCGGCGACAGAGAAAGCAGTTGAAACGACTGCTTGCTAAGCGCGATTTCAACTGATTTCTACGGGTCACATGAATTAGGATTTTTAAAATTATGTACAATACGATTGGGTTGGATTCGCAATGATATTGATGATATGGTTTTAACCATTTTCCTTGCTAGACATGGTTGACGGTTTACGGCTTATGGTTATGAATGTATTGGCTTCAGTGGTATTGGAAATGGCTTGAGAATTCTATCTGTAGTTTAGAGCAAATGCTCCAGATTTGTTTATTGATTATGATCACGATATTCTTGAGACTTGGACCCCAATCATTTTGCGAAACTAGCGGTGACGTTGGAAGGACGAGAACACTGTTCCTTGACGAATCACGTGTAATATGACTGCAAATACGGGGTTGTGGAGCATCAAAAGCTCTCCTACCAGCTTTTCAAAAAAGGATATGAAAAAAGTTAAAAAAAATGAAAGGATATTTTATCAACTCTACAATCCAATGGGGACTTCTAATCGACATGATAATGCTATGTTTTCTTTCTGGGTATCAGCTTGGTGTCCGGCTTCTAGTAATAAAGTACCGGGCTACCAAAGGATCTCTTAGGCCTCAGCAAGACCGACTTGGTTCATTTAGGGTAGTTAGGGTTATTTTTGGGTAATTTCTGCAGAGCTCAAATATTGTGGTTACTTTTCCGAAATCCTGGTGTTGGGTGGCGCAAGCATTACAGACTCCAAGCCCTGCACATTGGCTGAACACAGGCTCATGCAAAGAGCTATCTTGCTCGATTACAGGCCGATAAGGTTATCCAGAATTGAGTCATATGCATGCACATCGCAAGCCTATATCGAATTGGAATAATGACATGGATAATGTCACCAAATTTCATGCAAGCCACTGGAGACCGTCGTTGACATGCTTACGAAATCCTCCCTGTCATCATATAGCATGCTCCATATTGGTTACACAGCAGGGCTAAGCCTAAAGTTGCTGGGTCTTGGAATCCCATTAACCCGCAGTGTCTTAGCCCGGCTCTTTTCTTTGTCCAAAATATTGACAACTCATACTGAGACACGGCTCAGTAAGACACGGCTCACTGAGACACGGCACAGTGACGGAAGAAAGCCCGCAGTCACGTGAAGTGCGGACGAGTGGGCGTAAATAATGCGCGTTTAGCAAAGATATCGAATTTCCCCATCAATGAGCGAAATTTCCCGTATTCCCACGCTAACTCATATTCTACCACAGTGAGAATAGTGGAGCATGTGGCTTGTTGGCGTTAAGTGGGCGGCATGTGCAAGGACAATACAATGGTAGTCAACCACTCGATACATGTTGTTTGAGCCACGAATAATATTGCAACCCATACCTGTTCTTCCTATTGCCAATACCACACGGAATGCTTAGAGGGTATTGACCGAAAGTTTCACCGACGTTCTAGTCTAGTCGCCAACAGTCCAAAGTTCCAGCGAGCATAGATGGTAGACATCATGCATAATCGCACATGGTTGGTTAACCACTGTAGAATCTGTGGCCTGCGAGAGGAGTTGTACCAAGTTCTCTAGTATCTGTATTGATAGCTACAGATGTCAACTAGTGGTCCTTCTGTCAGGAACAAGCTTTAGCGGCGTTGTGACCAATAGAGAATACTCCCTCGGGACAGACTTAGGTGTTAGTAAAGCTCCTAGTGATACAACTGCATAGAAATCTCTGTCTCTGACACAACGCAGGGCGAAGAAAGACATTCCACAATAACATAGTAATGCAAAGGGATGGAGACGTGTAGCGGTGAGTGAAGGGCAGCACAAAGCTTTGATGGGATTTTGAATTACTGTCTCAAATGATCGAGAAATCTGTTGAGATTAAGGATGAATCTGGGTATATAAGACTCTCTTCGTTCTCGCAAGTATCTTCTCATCTCATCATCACAATCACAATCATTCACTTCACTCCAACACTTCAAACACTTTCAACACTTTCAACTCAACAACCTTCAAGATGTATGCCTACACTGTCATCGCTTTCCTCGCCGCCGCCGCCGCCGCTGCCGGCCCTGGTCCTTCCATCAACACCTGGACTGTTAAGCAGGCTGCCAACTCCTGCGCCAACGGCCAGAGCGTTTACTGCTGCAACAAGGTCACCAACAAGCCTGCTGGCAACTCTGTTGGCGACGGTGCCGGCATCGCCAACGGCCTCAACCTCTTCAGCCAGTGCTCCAAGCTCGATGTCAATGTCATCGCCATTGCCAACAACCTCCTCAACAAGGAGTGCCAGGCCAACGCTGCCTGCTGCCAGGACAGCCCCGGCACCGTAAGTGACCCGTTCAAACAATATCTTGACAGATCCTAACAATTCACAGGCCGGCGCTGGTCTCGTCAACGCCGCTCTCCCTTGCGTTGCTATCAGCAACCTTGTCTAAGGTTGAGCTTCGAGGAGCCCCTCCGGGTATTCAATGGGACGTCTGGGGGCAGGAGAAGGCCTGGTATCGTGGCCTTCGAGGACATGCTTGAGAAGTCTTGACAACGCGGTCTGACCGCTTGATACTTGCTGGAATTAGAGATCCTGTACGATTTTATCTTCGGGTGTTGCTTCGCTTCACCAGTGTGCGCCTTTTAATATGAGATTTATCTTCTTACTATACACAACTCCCAACTACATCGTGACTCCTACAGACAGCACAAGAATCAACTTGTTCTTGACCAAATTTCGTTCTGCAACTGATCCAATCTCCTCATCAATCCGTGCACTAGATTCTGCGAGATACTGAGGACTTGAAGTCTCTTGCATCATAAAGATCGTAGTTAGCCATGCAGAGTCATTACTGTCATCGGCACAGTCCATGTTCAACACCAAATGTCTGAATCGCTTTGCTTGATTCTGTTCCTATGCCTTGCTCTACTGCTGAGCTTTTCCGTCACTTTACTAACGACTTTCAACATCACCCACGTATTACCCTGGTCTGTTATCTGCAAGTGGTATTGAATGCACCAGAGGCGATGAGACTCGGCCGACCAACGGCACATATCCTGACAAACAATTATTCACATGCAACCAGCGAGCGGTTACGGTGCCAGAGGTCTAAATTGGGCACGTCTTAAACTAAGAACTTCACGTCAAGTTCAGGTTAGGGTGTCCAACACATAAACCTTGACAAATAGTTCAAGTAAACACCAAGTATCACATTGCAGAGGCTTGAGAATAATGACGGGAAATTGAGGAACTAGATGGATTATATTCAAGCGATCAAAGTTCTAATACCTTATATAAGTCTACCATAATTCACAGCATCTCCAACTAGAATAACCTGCTTCGTATCACTGACGATACGTAGCCCAAGAGTTGTGCATCCGGAGTCTTTGGCCGGGGGTAAACTCTTCATAGCAAATACTGTGGCAGAGAATTAGTGAAGAAGCGACTGAGTGGCTTGCTAAATTACTTACTCATATGAATAGTCCATGTAATTATGAACCGGATCGTAACCGGGTAGGTCGGGACAAGTGTCCTTTCGTGAAGGACAACCACTTGTCGGCTCTCCTTGCGCCGGAGTATCGGCGACAGAATCTCCTGGGGCATTGCATCCATTCTCAAACGTGTGAAGAAGACTGAACCAATGTCCGACCTCATGGATCGCGGTGCCGCCTAAGTTATACGGCGCAGCATCACCGCCGGGAACACTCTGTGCATCAATTACACAGCCGTCGCGGATGAATACATCAGATCCAGTGGTGGTGTTTGAGGGAAAGGTACAATAACCAAGAGCCGATGTCTTACCCAGCCTCGCAGTGTCGACAAAGTAAAGGTTGAGGGTGCTGTAGTCGCCCTGACGCAGCTCTCGCTTCATCCCGATCTCATCACCGCCGCCAGCCCATGTTGAATTGGTAGTGCAGGTTGTGTTTTTAAGATTGAACGAGATATTGTGAGGTGCGAATGCTGCGTTCAGAACTTTGAACTGAGCAGCTACCTGCCGTTGCGAAATTGCTTCCGATGCGTTTGAGGTCACAACGTGAATGTAGGTATCGACACAGATATGTTTTGAAGTTTCAATCCTTGTCACCTTCTCAATGTCCTCTAGCACCTTGACACTGGCCCTTTGCTCAGAAGTAGGATTGTTGATGGCGCACCGTGAAAATTGGTTTGAGTACTGGGCATACGCTACAGCGTTGCTGAAAAGAAGCAGAAGCAAAGCTCCGACAAACATGTTTGGTTGAGATGGCGGTTGTAGGGAGTTCACGAGAGGCTGTAGGGGAGTGATCGCCAGAAGTCGGCGTATGGATTCATCTTCTTATATCTCATTGTCGCTTTTGTGTTACGAATCTCCGATCAGTAGGAATGCATATCCTGATATCCTTCTTAATATCTATTGTTTTTCCAGCCCAATAATCCCCCAGCCGCAGCACGATATCGAAAACGGGATGAATGCATTGTTTGACATGCTCGATGTCTCATTGGGCTTGCCCTTGCCGGGACACGGCACAGCAGATGGATATTGGGTCGAAAAGCAGAATGCGATTTAAAATATTCGATAGTGGCTCAAGGGAGAACTGCATATGAAGAAATGGCTCGAAGGATGGAGTGTTAGACATGATCGGCAGGGGGCCGATAAGACTTTCTCGGCGCGTAGACTCCGTAGGGTCACCATCATGTCTCATTTTCTAAGGGAACAAGTGTGCATATTGAATTTGAATGACTGGGGGGGATTCCATGTCCTCACATCATTAAATGGCACAGAATGATGGCAGTTGTGGAAGGGGGGATCGAGTTAGACCGCAAGGTAGCGTCGCAAAAGATACCAACGTAGTTCACATATGTTCTTTATGCTGAGCGTCACAATGCGAACGATACACGTGGTTCGTAAGGATAGTCAGTGAAATGCTGAATTACACAATCTAAGCAATCTATATAAACCAAAACAAACTTCTAAACCTCTCCCTACACCATCAACCACCTCATCTAGATACCGTGACTTCAAAGGCAAAAGGCTGGACCGATTGGACTTGCTGGTATTACTTGACTTGCTTGTCCTCCTGGAGTGGTCAGATACGATGAGCAGAGTACTTATTGGAAAACTCACTTCGAATACCTGTCCAAAGGGCTGAAACAGCTCAGGCACCGCCGGGAGCAGCGGGAGCAGCGGGAGCAGCCGGGGCACCAGCGGGTGCTGCAGTGGGTGCGACGGCAGTAGGGACAGCAGCAACGCTGGAAACCTCGGTAGGAACGCCATTAACGGTAGTAGGGACATTGACAACATCAGTGGCGCAACCAATGGCTTCAGTGGTGGAAGTAGGAGATATGAGAGCGCTAAGAGAGGAGATGATAGCTTCAAGGTCTGCGGGAGACTGGCGCTTGGCAAAGGGAAGAGTGCCATCGTCAAAGGCAGCAGTCGTGGTAATGGGGACCTCAGTGGGAGTACCAGAGACAGAAGTCGAGAAAGTAAGGATATCTGTCATGGGATCCGTAGGCAACTGGCCGAGAAGAGAGCTAAGAGCGTCGAAAAATGCCTCAAGACCGGCTGGGTCGAACTGACGTTTCTCAAGAGCAGCATTGTTTGAGCCTCCCTGAGGAGCCGCGAAGGCAACGGAGAGAAGTGCAAGAGCAATGACAGACTTCATTTTGAAGGAGTTGTTTTGAAAGAAGTGAGAATGGAATAAAGAGTATGAGTGTTAATAGAGTGGCTTTTGTTAGTCTGTGAATGATTTAGAGTGTTGTAATGCTGAGATAGATGAAAGCTCTACAAGATATTATATATTGAATTCTCAGTACTACTTTCACCCAAGTATGAAGTTCCAAGGAACCACACTACATGACGTAGTTTCCTTGGTTTTTTGGTAGCCGTAACCATGAAAAAGAATGTTGATTGCTATAGAATTTTATCATCGAACTCAATCGCGATCGAGAGTACTCAGATCAAAACCGGCTTTTGCAGCATCTCGTATGGGCCATGATATACCAACTTCACCACAATTTGACTTGGCAACTACATAAGTGCAACTGTTGTTCTGGTTGTGGAATGCGGGATCAATATCAGCATATCTCAGGTTCCATGTTTTCATGACTACTAGCCTCTCTCAGGAACGTCTCACTTTCAACGCAAGAGAGGTAAGATGTAGTAGGGCCGATTAGAAAGTCAATATGTACGTAGGCACTGAGATATACAGAGTCATAGCACGGTAATCTAGGCGTGAGCGGTGTTATTGAGGCTGGTAATTCATGACATCAGCGATCTGATCATGACGTACATTCTGGAAGACATGGATAGAACACAAATGATCCGGTAGTGATAAAAAGAAATTACTTGAATAGTGGCCCATGAAGAATTCATGACTTGTAATTTACCTTTATGACGACGTTTTGCGTCTACCCATGGTTTATTTGTTTTGCCAACTTCTAGTTGCTAGATTCTGTTTGCACGAATATTTTCAAGATTTGGATGTAGATAAGGCTCCCTCGCAGTCACATAAATACGGCTCGTAGAATAAGGGGCTTTCTAGACAAAGAGCGGGTGTTTGATAGGGATGTTTTAAAAGCTGCACATACACGTGGCTGTTACCCTGGTATATTTGCCAGCAATGTAAAGACGATATTGTTGCCAATATTATCACGGGGGGAAGTTGAAATATATGTAGACTGGAACGCTGCTACCTGATAACAATGTCAGTAAACAATGGCCCCTTTTACTCTTCGTCATTCCCCTTTCACTCACACAATGCTGCTTCATCCCTCAACATCAGTTTTATATCAATAAAAGCTCTATTGTGCCCATCATGGTCCATTTCCAGTTTTCAGCTAATTCATACTACATCCCGATCTTTGACTACCTCAGAAAGGACCATGCGATTTATTATCATCACGGCTATCATCGCCGGCAGTGCTGCAGCAGGTTCACTTTCAAAACAACAAAAGCCCATCAGAAGGACCTCGACTTTCCAGATAGTGTACAACAGGACAGAAAAGTTCAAGGCCGCCAACAATACCCTGTACATAGGGTCGCCCAAACAAGACGCTTGCTGTAATCAGTTCAATGCTGAGGATGCGGCCACCTTCTACCTAAAAGATGAAGAGCTCTTCCTCTATTCACCGGGAAATCCCAAGCAACAGGTGATTGTGAACAGTAAAAAAGCCGCGACAGGATGTGAGAAGACTTTCATAGGATGCTGCACTTTGCTTACCATACTTCCTCTAGGTCAAAATTCCGTTGGTTACTCCATTGGTTCAAGGAAAAAGCTGGAGAAAGCACAGAGAGAAGGCTGGCGAATAGATGATGATGACAATATTACCTTCGATGGACTCAGTCTGATGGCGTGCAGCAGCTCTGGTGTTGGGCGGGATATTATTGTACGGAAAAGTGATTGCCGACTAAAGGGTTGCAGGGCGTGTCGGAGAGTCACAGCAAAAGCGACATACACAAGTCATCCTACGAGTTGTTTATATAGTGGAGAGGGACAGGTTGTTTCGCACTTTTGCTTGTAGAGGTAGAGCTAGTCGGAATGCCTCTGAGCTATACAGCTGTATGAGAACGGATCTTACTCCTGAAAGTGACCGCGACCTGAGATGCCCATATCTCATAGATGTGGTAATCTCTAGAGTTATGGATATGGTATTTATTAATAATAACAACTGCTTCAGGGCGCCATTCTTCTTGGATGAAACTCACACGAGCAAAGGGGGCAACAACTCCAGTCATGTCAACCAGCGTTGCGACTACAAGATAGCGACTAATGGCGCTAGCAAGGCGTGTAACGTGTAGTAATCAAACAGACTCCCCTTTCTTCTTGGCCTAAAAGGGAACTGATATAAATGGGTCAGTTGTCAGAGGTTGACTGCCGGAGTTGTGGGAGCCGAAACAAAATTCAGGGAGAGGGCGCGGAGATTTAAATATGATTGAAACACGGCCCCATGATGCATCGCAACCAGAAACCACTATTGACTTGTGCCGCGATTGCCCCTTGTTTGTCTCGGATATTATTGTAAGTGCATCCTTATAGTGGCTCCAAAGGAGGGCTATTGGTTTGTGCCGCGTTTAGCGCTTCTTGACTAAGAAAACGGGTGTGCAAGTCTACCGACCAAAGCCATCCCTTGACATTGCCTTATACGGCAACTGAGATTATCTTGTGAGAACAGCTGAGCGAAAATCATTATAAAGACCTTTCTATGCCGGCGCTCTGGAATGAAGAACAATCCAGCACTCATTCTATCTACACTCCTTTAGCCACATTCATTTAGACGTCGCAGCCAATTACCCTACCACGAGACTTGATATCTCACAAGATGAAGTTCTCTACACCGGCCATTCTTCTTGCTTCCATTCCAATTGCCATCGCTACCCCTGGTAACTATGGATATGGATATGCGTGTGATTGCGAAAAGGTTGCTACCGTGACCGCTACCTCTACATGCACGGTCACAACGTCGATCTACGACTCCCCAGACACCAAGACCGTCAAGGTCACTGTCCCTGTGTACAAAGCACCGGTCACTGAGACACTGAAGGTCACTATGCCCGTGTACAAGGCTCCATTGACCAAGACTGTCACCAAGGTCATTACCTCAGTCGCCGACCCGCCAGCCGCCAAGACCGTTAGGGTCACGGTGCCCGTGTACAAAACACCGGTCACTAAGACCGTCACGATCACTGAGCCTGCTTACAAGGACCCGGTCACCAACATTGTCACCAAAGTCGTCACTACGTATGGCTGGAAACCTACTGTGACCAAGTACCACAACGAGCCGGCATACACCATGTACAAGACCAAGACTGTCACTAAGCCCTGCACCGATAATGAAAAGCCTCAGTACAACATTGGAGTCTATGACAACTCTGGAAGCGGGGACTACTATGCTTGATACGAGAGGTCGGGAGCGCTTTTTCTTTTGTAACTTTGTTGTAATGTTTAATTTCTTGAAATGGGGATACGCAAATTGGGTGGTTTGGGTTCAGTCATGTCAAAAGTATATTCAGATTGACACTTTTACGACTTGTTAGAGTGCAGGGACTTGTTTAATCATAATTTTACTCATTATTGTTAATCATAATTCTCAATCAAAGGCAGTTGACTGTTATATGTAACCCATTTTCCGTAAGTGAATTAATCAGACGGGAACACCATTGATCAAGCCCTTCTTTATTGCATTGTGAAATAGTCATGTCACCGACTCGGGGTCACAAGCGGAAAAGTCTACCTACAATGAACTTTGCACGTAGCCAACAGTGGTATGCATCATACAAACAAGCAAGAAGCTACTCAGCCCCTATCAGTATCTCCAAACAATTATTATAAGAGATGGCCAGTTATGTCGAGAGGATGTAGCAACTTGCAGATCGAGTGGTTTAGAGTTGCTGAGAATTGAGAAACTGCTGGGCTGAGGAAAGACAGCTATTATAATACTGAGTTTAGGAAGTAAAATTTCCTTAGCAGGTATTACGGAATAATAAAGCATGTTCCATTCAAGCTCAAAGCAGCATAACTATGACTCAACCAAGACTGGATCCATCGTCTAAGGTTTATGTTTGGAGATAGAGATAGAGTTAGAAAGCCTATAACCTAAAAGCTGAAGGCTATAGGCTTTCTGTCTCGTAATATTGATAGATAAATACGCTTCAAAACTCTACACCTAACCAACTGATTGGCTTTTTAACAAATCGACGGGTCACTGGTCTTGTTGGGCTTGAAATCACGCCATGCATATCCGCAGGATTTCCACGATTATACAAGCCTTTCAGCTGGCTATGAAAGAGTTTACAGAACTCGCCACCTCGTCGGTTTGACATTTAATAAATAAAGACACCAGCTGCAGCCAGTTCCCAACCCAGTTCTTGCCCCTAATTAATCCAAGTAAAACAGCAGCAAAAAGAGCACCACTGTCATTCAAACGGGTCACAATAGCCACAAACAAGAAAAGGCATCAACACTACGACAAGCACAAGAGACAAGAATGCAAACGCGCATTTGAAGCTTATTTCCAGTGATTCAGCTTTGGTGCTGTTACACCTTCTTCCATAGCTGGCAGTGATTCATAGCCCATCAGCTGATAAAAAGCTTGATACGCCGCCTCTCCGACCTTCGACTCTTCTTTCCAATCTGAGTTCTGAATCTCTACATCTTCAATCTAACGCCTGGGTTCTGTGTGGTGATTATAAGTTCCTGGGTTACCGACTTCTCATCGCGAGGCGCCTTAGCCAGTCCACCAAGATCTGGAACACTGGACAAGGCCAACAAGAAGATGTACAAAATACAGCCGCAATACGCACTTCAACCGTCGTTTTGGATACACCCGAGAGCCTGTATAAAGCACGTTTCCCTTCGCGCCACATCCGCGCTGCCAGCTTTCATCATGCCGACCTTCGATGCTGAAGTATTCGCTTTCCTCTCCTCTATCAAGGAGCCCGTACTCAAAGACGGAGCAACGCGCACAAGACTTCTCGGCATGGTGAACAATCTTACGGCTCCCCATCCTTCCGAGGTCATGCAATGGCTTCAAATGGCAGAGTTTCGCGTCTTTGCCTTTGACAACCTGCTAGTTGATTGTGTCAAGACCTGGGCTGGCTACAGAACCCATGTCCAACCCTTGTGGGTTTTTCTACTCCTTGGAAAGTTGATCGCGACCATGCTTGGTCAAGACAAGTTTGAATGCACAATCGGTGGTATACGATACCAGTGCCCTAGGCTTGAAGAATCGAAGATGGAGCTGGAGTACAGGTATGATCGATGGGCATATGAGATGGAGGACGTGACGATCGACATGCCTTATGAGTATGGAGATTTGTTAATCTAGGCGATGCTGCACTGTTGCTCTATTTGGAGTTCATAGGCCTGACAGCTGATGCTTGCATCCCGCGCCTGACTTCGACGATATCACTCCTAGTTTCACACCAGTCTCTGAAGTTTCTAGGATAGCTGAACAATAGGACTTGCGATAAACAATGATAATATCCTCGCATTTGGCATGGCCTTTCTCGAACCACGTGACAAGACTTTAACCATGTTCATGTTCACGGTTAAAGATTGTCTTACCACCACCTCGAGTCAAACAAGTCCTTTCCCAGTAGCCGGTACATATTTTTCAACTTTGATGAAACTCTCATTGTGAGGAGGCTTCTCGACGTTATCTTCCCAAAATGGTGAAATGCAGCGACGAGGCAGATCAGTAGTCCATCTACCCACAGTCCAGATCTAGACCCCAATCCTTCGGCAGCCGAGGCCAACACAGCCCATGGCGACACGTACTCTTAGATTCAACAGGTCATGAGCCTCATAATTCGATCACTGACACAAGTTCGTCCCTGGGCCAAAGTCGGCCTCTTTCGGCAAGTCCAGCGCCATCCCTGCACCGCCTCCAACCAACCAGGTTGCCCGCCTTCGATGGCATCAGCTTAGTTCAACGCCACAGCCGCCAGAGTACTTCCGATCAGTGCAACGCTAATTCCCATTTCGTACTGTATGCAGCGCTGTAGCACAGCCACAGACCTTCTGACCTACCGGCCGCAGTACACAATTGGCTGTTTGGCCTTCAGCTCCCAGGCACTGACATCGCATAGAAAAGCCGTTTTAGCTGATGATCTGCTTACATGAGATCCTCCCGACCCAGCGCCCCGGTTCTAAGGACGTCTTGGCAAGAATGTGTAAGAGAAATCGACGCAGGGGTACCGTGCGATTCTTCCCGCTAAGGAAAGTATTCTCGAAGATCGTTCTTGTGATGGGAAGAGGTATGAGCCTTATAAGATCTCGGCCGGCCAATCGCCATTCATATGTAGATTGTAATAGGAAGAGCGGTCCATTTGCACTGAAACGGGTTGAGGCAGCAATATTTCATTGTTGGACAATGGAAGAGTTTGCTTTGGTTGATTCGGGGTCAAGGGGAAGGAGACTCTCCGTATGCCAAACCGCCGTTTAATGTGAATCGATTTGGTATATAAACTTATTTCTTCAGTCTCGAAAGTATGGCAGTAACCTGGAAAGAATCAGCTTCGTGGTATCAATATTCTTTCACAGGAACTCAACGCCGAAGCTCAGACTCGACACGCCGCTTACTTTAGGCCAATTTCGTAACCTTCGTTATGATATTTCCAGCATTTGTTGCAAGCCTGGAGGACGTATACGCCAGCAGCTCTTCAAGTTCTGGGGGACCGTACCAGATCTCAGACCAAGTCGTTGACATAGGGTTCCCTCAAATTATGCAACTGACCTGGACACCATCACCCTCCACAATGGCTCTCTTTATCTCTGAACCCGGTTCTCATACTCTCTATGCAGTCTGTATGCCTCGTGGTTGGCAAGGCCCGACATATCTCTTTCCAGGGTCCAGCGTTGCTGGACATCCGATATCGTCTGGAATCAGATCCAGCGATGGATTCACCTTTCAACTCCCCGGAATACCCAGTTACAACACTCCCTCCGGTCAAGTCTCTATGACCTACCATCGCTCGCGGTCTAATCCTCGATACAGTTTCTCGATGAGTGTTGAACACGGTGGAAGTCGCAGAACAGAGTCGTTTGAGTGGCGTATCTCATCAGAAGCTCAGAGAAGCGCTTACAGCATGGTATGGCAGCTCGTATCGCTAGGGCGCACGAGTAGATCTAGCTCAACCCGCTCCCGAAGTTCTGAAGTTGTTGCAATGGTACACGAAGACAATACTGCGTCAGGATCTGCGTCTGCCCAAAGGTCGGGAGGCTTCCAATTTCTGGGCAGGGCAGCCACAGGTTCAATGGGATATCACTGGACTGTCACAGCATTGATGAGTAGTGTAGTAATTCTGCAGGATACCAGCCGGGAGTAGCACTAATAAGCTAGTGAATTTGTGGCATAGTTATTACAGGCAGATAGATATTCAAGGCTGGGCATCACAGAAGATGGGCAGACTTAGCAGGCTAAATCAACCCCCTCTCTACTCTTCATTTTGGATACTATATAATGGCAAGCTTAGAAAAGATCAGTCTAGGTTACTGTCAATCTATCCAAATATTTCCATACCTTATGACCAGGATCTTATGTTTTCTTACATTCTTCCGATTGCCAAAAAAGATGTACGTTAGCACATTACTCCACGAGTACTTCAATGAAAAGGCAAGAAACATCTTGGAATCTGTATCGTGGATGAAGGTGCATTTGAGCTAGAAGTGTTGTTTGCAGCTGAGATATATGCCTGAGAGCTTAAATCAGCCGAGAGAACCTAGCTACCTACCTAGCTGATGTGATAACTACTGATGCATCAGAGTATAGTATCTCAACTAGGATCCAGATCTGTTAGCTGTATTCAAGTCTTATGGCTGAAAGCTCATAGCCACCACAAAGTACTTGATCACATCATTCACTCACGGTCATGTCATCCTTCGCAGACACAGAATTGTACAGTTTATCATTGGCTATTGTTAAGGAGCCAGTTTCTTGTGAATGGCCAAAAGATAAGACTCGTCCAGCAGCCATTATCGCTTACTCAGGATGAGCCGACGTCGCTGTGTGGTTCAGAGCCACAATTCAGTCATTATTCACCCCCTTTGAGTTATTTCTCTTGAGATATCATTATGAAAATGCCCAGCACGATTCTTCAACTACTCAACAACATCACTTTCTACATATCCCGCCCAATTTGAACATAATTCCCGGAAAGAATCCTTGGCGCCACCACGGAATATTAGTCATTTTGACCTCAACATGTGCAAACAATCGAATTTATCGGTAGTGGTGCAAATGTGGAACGGAGTTAGAAGCAGTAAGACCAGTCCTCCATAAGTGTGCGGCATTTGGCACGTCAGAATGCAAGGGTCTGGGAAGAGAGGAATCCTTTGACGAGTGGGACGCAGGCAAATACAAGGATTGCAAGAAAAAGGAGCTTGAGGAGGAGAATAGAAGTCAAGGAGTAGCAGAAGAAAAGTCCAAGAAGACTACAGAGTAGTTGTAGGTCCACACCACCAATAACTTATGCCTTAGGCGTTTTCTCTAGTGCTATGTGAGCAACTGAAAAGCAGATAATAAAATACTGATTCCTCTTTAACATGAAGGTGATTATTGCGAATCCTCAACCAAAATAATGCAGGAAATCATGCATGAGACTTACGCTGAATGCTTCACCAGTGACGTGATTAATGACTGGTATGGCTACAAAATGGCTGTGTAGAAACGTGAGCCCCCTCACCTCAACGTTTGCCCCTTACCAACCACTAGAACTCGTACACTCTAGAGTCAATATGTGCGTAGAGAAGATCCTTCAGTACTGGTGTAAGTGTGGGGAGAAGGCAGGGCGAGAATATGTCGACTATCCGTGCACCTCGGCGAATTGTAAGGGCTGGATGAATGAAGAACGACAGACTCGAAACTCGGATAGAGAATGCATGGAACGTGAAGCAAAGAGGCGGAAGAAGGAGGCGGAAGAAGCCAAGAAGAAGCAGAAGAGAAAAGGCCAGTAAAGACTGTTAGGTAGTATATAGCTTGAATCACTGAACTCCTGTGCCGCTTCACTTCTATTTGGACGGTTGCAAACAGATGACATCCCAATCATAGATTAACGGTTGGAAGATTACGCCTAAATACATACAACAAGAGTCAACACTTTGTGCTACAATCACTTTAAACGGTCGATTCTTGGCATGAATATATGACCAGAGAATCTATAAAACGGCTCGGTTCGGACATCTACCCTTCCACTGTAACATTATCTCTTGTGCTAACCACTTCAGATCTCTACTTACTCTAAACTCAACATGTGCGTACATAAAACCTTTTACTACTGGTGTAAGTGTGGGGAGGAGGTAGAAAGAGACTATCGTGATTGCCGGTGTGATCTGGCTGGTACATCGAAATGCAAGGGCTGGAAAAACGAAACGGTGAACTATTGGTATTCTTCCAAGGAGTGTAAGGAATGTAAAAAGAAGAGGCTGGAGAAAGAGAAAGAGGGAGCTAGGAAGAGGTAACAGAAGGCCGCCAATAGTCCCTTTCTGAATGCTGAGGATATACTGCTCACCGATTCATACACCAATAGGCACTCCTGAGATCACCCTGTGACAGTCAATTCTGTGTGATAGAAACATGTTGATGACCTTGTTATGAACGTGAACCTGTGACCAACACATCTATAAAGCGGCTCGGCTCCAACGCCAACTCCGCCACCAAAAAGCAACAGGTTTGCCATAAAAACATACAGATACCCTACAAATCCGTAACTAAACCCCTCAGTATTTTCCTCTTGTCACCATGTGCAAAAAAACACGCGTCGTCCATCTTTGCAGATGCGGTCTTCAAGCTTCGTTGGAGCCCGTTGTGGAAAGATCCTGTCCTCTGCGATATGTTCTCAAATGCAGGCCGACAGTTGAACAAATAGAGAAACCCAGCTCTGGAGAGTGCGCAACATGTAGGGGAAAACGGGAGAAGAAGGAGAAGAAGAAATAAAGAAGCTTCTTGAGAGCCTCTGGTCTATTTCTTGATCATATATAGGGAAACGACAGCTACAATCATCAGAAAGAACAAAGCTAATATAGCGAGCACACAAACACCCTCACACTATCTCATGCTCCGATATGTCATAAGGTACACATCGTCCATCTTTAGAAATACGATCTCGTAGCTTCATAAGAAAGAATTGTTGAAATACGTTTAACTATAACTACCAAAAACCTTGTTAAACTTCCGAGACAAGCTTACGCATCTTGCCTGTCATGTCCCCGGTGTTGGTCGGTCTTACGATACCACAACCCCCTGCCTAGGAGGATTACGAAAAAGTGCTGGTACATGGAATTTTGGAGAAAAAGACAGATAATAGGTGCTTACTGGTCGTCGCGGGTGAGACCTGGGCCTAAATATAAACCACGTATGCGTTTATTTGTCCCAGAAGGGTTGTAAACACAACGATAATAATGATTTGCTTTTCTTACTGGCTCGGCAGGTAAATTGTCAATCGTAATGCTAGCGTCAGCCCAGCCCTACTGCTAAGTAATCCCGCTGTATCGAGGATTAGGCTGATCTTCAAACCAACAAGTAAGGCACCGGCTTTAGATATTCGAGACGGCAAATCACACATAGCAAATAAAAGCGGTATATCAGTATCAGGTCCTGTATATCCTTACAAGATATCCTTTGCTGCTATTAAATGTTTATTTCAGAGCCCTGGCACACTGATCATCAATCCCTGTTTTGACGGGCGGTCAGTCGACGATCCCTGCCATACAAAGCTGCATGGCCTCCCAAGGCGCAGTCGAACTTAACATCACCCAGCACCGCTCATAACCGAAGCTCGGCCCCTGTGGATACCTCTGATTAGGTTGATTCGAGATGTCATGATTTATTAGCCGCTGCAGTCCTCGCCTTATCGCACGGGTTTCCTTCTACACCTTAGCGCCATTATGCCAGGAACGCCATCGAGCCGCGGATGCGACGGATGTCGTAGGCAGAAGAAGAAAGTAAGCATGACAATATGTCTCATAATAAACTCCAGTGTTAACAACAAAAGTGCGACCAAGCCAAACCAACATGCGGAAGATGTAAACGAGTGGGCGTACCATGTGTTGGAAATGGCGTCAAACGATGGAAATTTCACTCATTCCATAACGACGATCAGAGCCTTGTTAAACGACGCCCCAGTAATGAACAGACCCAGCTCTCGTCTTCGTTGGTTCACATCCTCCAGACTGAAGATGCCAGGTTTGATATCCGAGCATTCGGCGGCAAACTTATCCCAGAAATCGTAGCACAAATTGGTTGTAGTCCAGCACTCGACTCTTGTGTAAACGCAATGGTTTCTCTGTATAAATCACATCGGTGCCAGGAATCAAGAGTTGACGCTTTGACGAGATATGGAGAGGCTTTAACAGCAACCAGAAGCGCTATACTTGATCCGAAGGAGAAGATCATTATGAAGATGCAGGTCGTTTCAATCATGTTTGTTTGCCATGTGAGTAAATCTCTGCCTTACCATATCCTCTCGCTAGAATTGACACTGTTCAGTACTGGGTAGACCGCAAATCAATCGAACAACATCGAGAGGTTATATCAGTGTTATTTCGCGAAGCTGTTATGAAAAAGCAGCTCGATGAAATGGGTGACTACATGGTGGGACTTAGCCAGCTGGCCGTATGCCAAACCCCCTCCCCTGAATATTTCTCATAGCTGACGACCATTTAGGTTATGGCGAGCTTCTTGAACCCTCAATTTGAGCTTGGTCCTTGGTTCTGGGAAGCGTGTCATACGATTGGCACTCCACGGCCAGTCAAATACCACCAAGGAAGCTTTCTGAGCCTAGAATCTGGAACCATGGGAGAACTATCGATTTTGATGCGCTCGCCAAAGAAGAACCTTCGTCAACTAAGATCGATCTACGACGTCATGCAGTTCGAGATGCCCAAGGTCCGGCAACTCCTTGCACTAGCAACAATATCAACAGCGGCACCCAACGCACCGGCCATGTCGATACGAGTCTGCAGTTCATACAGAGTAGCATATGGAATTCTACTCGCCATGAGTGCGGTGATTGGACACACTTTGCAAATCTGGGATACAGACTTGACGCTTGTGGGGAACTCACACGACTGCGTTGATGAGTGTATTGCTTTAGTAGAGCAATGTGAAAGTGCTCGACCGTACGGCGCTAGCTTTGTGCCGGACTTTCTTACAATGGTTTGGGCAGCGACTACAGATGGCTATAGGAATGATGAGATGGCTGAGTACTTGGTTGATTATGAGAAAGACTCCATCGGGGCGGACTTTATGGGCCAGGCTATGTCAATAAGAGAAAGACTGTTTGCGATGGAGGCAAGGGAGACAGCGGAGGAAACGGAAGTCATTCTGGAC